AGAACGCCCCATGTGGCTGGTGGCAGGAACGGACGAGGGGGGGCGGATAGAGGAGCAGGACGAGCACTGGCAGGGGATATGCACCAGGAGAGAGATCTCATGGAGGAAGAGGAGGGGAGGGGACGAGAGCCACTCATAATTAAGCGCACGCAGGCCCACGCACGTGCTCCATTTCTCAGCGACCGCCGCGCCGCCATGAGAACTGTCGTACCACCGCCGCTAATGCGGCGGATGCGTGACCTCTCCCATCCCTGTCCTGCGCTGTTTCTGCTACCGCCCTCCCCCCTTCCAGCCAAGCTCGGGTTTCATGCTCGGAGACGGGCGCGGCTGGCGGCTCTTAGTGCGGGTGCGCGTGCTGCCTCCAACTCCTCATCCCCTCCTCCTCCTCTCCTCATCCCCCCTCCTCTTCCTCCTCGTCCTCCTCTATCGGCCCAGCTCCGATCGCCGCTCAGCTCTCCTGGTGCGGCTGGCGGCAAAAGTACCGAATATTGCCTGGGATGTCCTTCACCTTCTTCTTCGACATCTCAAGCATCATCTTGCCCATCTCCTCGGTGCGGCGCGCCTCCTCCATCATCTGCCGCGCCTGGTCGACGAGCATCTGGCCCTTCACTCCAACGGCGCGTGCATGGCGGCAACGATTGCGCCACTGGAGAAACCGCACAACCATGGTCGCCCAGTGCCAAACACTGCCCTCCGTCGTGATGAGCTCGAAGTCATCGACGTCGTACTTGCCCGCGATGCTCGCCATGCCGGCGCAAAAACCGCGAAGGAGCCCCCTCTGGCAGCCCCCGCTGCTGCGGAGACTTCGGCAGAGGCTCCTGCGCGGCTCCAGTCGCGGAGGCGGGCGGGCGCGGCGGGAGGCAGACCTGCAACGGCTGCGGCTTCACTTTATCGCATTTCCATCCCTCCCTGCACTCACATGGCTTTTCCCATTGCGCCAGTCTGCTGCTCCCACTTCTGAACTACCTCATCCCTTCTACCTCCATCTGTACCCTCCTCTTCCTGTTCAATCCTCCCTCCTCCCTCCACCGTGCTCATTTCTCCTTACTCCCTTCTCTGCTCCTCCTACGTGGGGCGTTTCACGACAACGACGACGACGATGACCACGACGGCGACAACGAGGGCGACGACGACCACGACGACGACGACGAGGACGATGACCACGACGGCGACCAGCGACGACGACTAGCGACGACAACGACCGACGACGACGACGCCGACCACGACGACGACGGCGACGACGACAACGAGCGACGACGACAACGACAATCGACGCCGACGAGGAACGACGACGACGAACGAGGACGACGATTACGACGACGAGATGACGAAGGTTCGAAGATCGAACCTCGAAGTGCGAAGCTTCGAAATTCAAACTGCAACCTTCGAACTCCGAACTTCAAACTTCGAACTGCGAACTTCGCTGGGGTGCCAGGGATGCAATGGGATGGAGGGAAAAATGGGAAGGAGAGAACGAGGAAGCGGGAGAGGAAATTGGAGGAGAACGAACAGGCGTGGAGCGACGAGGAAAGGGCGGCGAGGAGCCGACGTTGAGGGCGGCGGGATGGGGGGACAGAGAGGAGAGGGAAGACTTCTTTACGAAGATCGCGCCACGGCGCCTGCACGAGCGCTCCCGATCTCGGCGGCCGACGCGCGCGCCCCTGCAGACATGCAACGCGCCCTTCATTCGAGCCCCGCTGCTGCTGCGGAGCCATCTACTCCGAAACCAAATCGTCTGGGGAGTTATTCGGTCCCAAAACTACTGTTTGCCACCCGCTGCTGCGGACGCCGAGGGCCTGGTGCTGGACGCCGCGGCCCCGCTGCTGCGGGGCCCCTGAGAGGGCGTCGGCCCCCCCTTCTCTCTGGCGGCGTCGAACTTGACCTTGCGCTCCACACCGAGGTCCTTGTACCAGCGAAAAGTTCCTGACCCGTCGCTCCCGCCCAAACCCGCGGTTGGTGGCCTCACCGTGTCCGCGCGGGGGACGAGGGGCAGAGCTTCGACCTTCCTGTCGCCCCAGTGCGGGTGTAAACGGACGCCTGTCCCGTCGTCGCGGTGCAACACGAAATCCCACATCGGCAGCTTCACTTTCACCCGCTGCCCCGCGAACTGTCGCGCGCGCACAATACTCTGACGCATGTGGTCGTAGCTGTTTGGCCGGACTTCGAGGGAACAGCCGATCAGAGCCCCGCTGCTGCGGGGCCCCTCCACGACCTCCCTGATATCTTCCTCCCTGAGCGTCGCCACCATCTCTTGCCACCGCCAAGGGACTTCCTCGTCGCTTTTGAAACCAAAGCTCGTCCTCGCACCGTGGTCGCAAACAGCGACCATGGTGGGCTTCGCATTGTCAAACCACTTGGCTTCTGACTCGAACGGGGCAGTTGGGTCTTCATTCAGATGGCGCCACCATTTCAACGCTTGATTGTGTTGCTTAAACGAAGTGCCGAGCCTCTCTTCATAACTCAAAAAATAATTAACATCAAACTTCTCAAAATCCTGGGGCCCGCGCGCCGCCGCCGCTGCGGTGGCGCGGGGCTCCTGCGCCGCAGGCGCGGCTCGGGATCCCGACCCCTCTCCTGAAACTGTGTTCCCAAGTTCTGGTACGTTTCGGAGGGCAGCCCTCACGAAATTATCGAATTCGGGCTTGCCGAGACCAGGGGCGCGGGGGCTCACAACGCTAAGCGCGGCGAAGCGAGACGGCCGTTGAGACGAGACCGCCGCCGCTGCTGCGGCGGCAGGGCCATCGCGCCATTTGGCGTCCTCCGTTGGCGTGTGCCCGTCTTGTCGCCAGTCTCTCCAACCCCTCGCTGACCAATCATGGCCGTCCTCCCAGCCACGCCAGCCGCTGCTGCGGCTATCCCACCATCCTCCCGCGCCATCCCATGTGTATCCGCCTGCATCGCCCATTGCAAGACGATGGCGCAGGCGCGCGTTAGGCCGCGACGGGCCCAGCTGCACCGGTGCTCGCGGGCGATCCCACGGGCGCGGGGTGGTTTGAGCATAGCGGCGGCGGACGACGCGACGTGATTGGACGGCGGAGAACTTGAAAGGAAGGGGGGTTGGAAACGAATGAACGAAGTGGACGAAGAGCGGAAATCGAACCAGAGGGAGGCGAAAAAAGAGCGGAAAAGAATAAGGACATGCAGACGAAGGAGAGTGACGAGGTAGATGGCGGGCCAGAACGGCAACGGAGGATAATGTGGTGGAAATTGTGAAAAGGACGCATGGAACAACACGACGAGGATCACAGACGCAAAGATGATGAGCGCAGTGGTAGCATGACACATCCGAAATCAAGAAGCAGGATGAGGAGGAACGGGATGACGAGCAACTCTGTCGCAGAGAGCCTCCGAACGCACCCCCTCTGTCACAGAGGGCCTCCGAACGCACCCCCTCTGTCACAGAGGGGGTCCGAAAAACACCCCCTCTGTCACAGAGGGGGGAAATGATCACTTTAATGCGGCTTCTGGATTACTGGTAGTGCACACTCGACAGGTCGGCTGCCGATCAGGAACGAGACCTCGCAGCAGCGGCCCCACTAGAAGCAGCAAGCCGAGGACCGAGGCCAGCAGCAGCTTTGCCCTCGACCTTGATCCTTGCCTGGGCCAGCGCGGACTTGACTTGCTCTTTGACTGCCGCCTCCTCCACGGTGGGCTCGGCCTGCTCAGCGGCCGGTGGGGAAGCATCGGTCGGAGAGGCAGCCTCCTCGGCGTCCGGCTGCGCCCCTGTGCCGGAGGAGGAGGAGTGCGGGGAGCCGCCGCCCAGGGCGTCCCTGGGAAGCTCGCTCCGGCAGCCGCACGGTCAGGGCGCCTGCGCGGCAGGGGAGGCCCGCCTGCGCGGCAGGAGCTCGCCGGGAAGAGGCCCGCGCGCGCCTCGGGTGGTGCGTTTTCGCCGGAGAGGCCCCGCGAACCCAGACCCCCTTGCATCGCGAAAAGGTCACGACGGGAGGTTTTCATTGATTTTCCTCCTCCTTCTTCTTCTTCTTCTTATTATTATCCTCCTCCTCCTCCTCCTCCTCCTCCTCCTCCTCCTCCTCCTCCTCCGCCTCCTCCTCCTCCTCCTCCTCCTCCTCCTCCGCCTCCGCCTCCACCGCCTCCTACCTCCTCCCCTCCTCCTCCTCCTCCTCCTCCTCCTCCTCCTCCTCCTCCTCCCCTCCCCCTCACCTCCTCCTCCTCCTCCTCCTCCTCCTCCTCCTCTCCTCCTCCTCCTCCTCCTCCTCCTCCTCTCCTCCTCCTCACTCCTCCTCCTCCTCCTCCTCCTCCTCCTCCTCCTCCTCCTCCTCCTCCCTCCGCCTCCGCCTCCGCCTCCCCGCCTCCTCCTCCTCCGCCTCCGCCTCCGCCCCCGCCTCCGCCTCCGCCTTTTCCTCCTCCTCCTCCTCCTCCTCCTCCTCCTCCTCCTCCTCCTCCTCCTCCTCCTCCTCCTCCCCCTCCTCCTCCTCCTCCCTCCTCCTCCTACTCCTCCTCCTCCTCCTCCTCCTCCGCCTCCTGATCCTCCTCCTCCTCCTCCTCCATCCTCCTCCTCCTCCTTCCTCCTCCGCCTCCGCCTCCGCCTCCGCCTCCGACTCCGCCTCCGCCTCCTCCTCCTCCTTCCTCCTCCTCCTCCTCCTCCTCCTCCTCCTCCTTTCCCCATCCCCCTCCTTCCCCCCCCCTCCACCTCCTTCTTCTCCTCCTCCTCCTCTCCTCAAACCTCCTCTCCTCCTCCTCCTCCTCCTCCTCCTCCTCCTCCTCCTCCTCCTCCCTCCTCCTCCTCCTCCTCCCTGCTGCTCCCTGCTGCTCCCTTCTTCCTGCTGCGCCCTGCTGCTCCTCCTCTTCCTCGCCCTCCTTCTCCTCCTCCTCCTCCTCCTCCTCCTCCTCCTTCTCCTCCTGTTCCCTGCTGCTGCGGATCCTCCTCACATAAGGCATGCTGATAGCAACTTGTCCCCCTCGGGGAGCTGGCCTCAGCACCGCAAAGTCAGAGCACGCTCAACGCCAACAAGCGAACTTGATGGAATCTGCGCGGCAAATCATTTCAAGCGGGCTCTGGACGAGCACGAGGCGGCATCGAGGCGACTTTGAACACAGGTCTGACCTTGACGCCGGCAGGGTCGAGGCCTCACCACTGCTGCTCCTCGCAGCGCGCGGCCCAGCGCGGGAGCAGAAGCAGAAAGGATTGCAGGAGGGCTGGCCGAGACCACGGCTGCTCGCCCGCCCCGGTCCAGAATTCTGTTCAAAAACGGCCCCGGGAGGAGGAGGAGGAGGAAGAGGAGGAGGAGGAGGAGGCCGTCTCTTCCCTCCTTGTCCTCCCCGCTCCTCCTCCTGCCCGCTCCTCGTCCTCCTCCTCCTCCTCCTCCTCCTCCTCCTCCTCCTCCTGCTCCTCCTCCTCCTCCTCATCCGCCCCTCCCGGGGACCATCCTGGCAGTCGCATCCAGCCAAGGCGACGCAAGGCTTGCAGGAAGCCCAGAGAGGACGGTGGCCGCCGATGTCCCGACTGGGCCTCCTCCGGAGCAAATCCAAATGGCTCGCGGCCCGAGGCGTGCAAAAGAAGAGGAGCCACTACTGGCTGCCGTGGTCGCTCGCCTGGTCGCTGCTGCTCGAGCCGCTCATGAGGGTGCTGAGCATCCCAGACTGGGCCCCCGAGCCGCCGTCGGAAGAGCCGTCATGCCTCCGGCTGATGCGCTTCATAGCCTTCGCGATCAACTTCTCCATCCGTTCGAAGCGTTCCTCGTCGGTGTTGGCCTTCTGGCCGTCCTCGGGCCACTGCGCCTTCGGTGACGTGGACCCACCGAAGCGGCGGATTGTGTCGACGGTGGTGACGTTCGCGTTCGCGGGCTCGCGCACCTGGATGCCCCCAGCCAGGCCGATGTCGCCCTCCCCGAACTCGCACCGCTCCTCCAGATGCAGGGAGTCGACGAACGTCCTCCAGCGGATCTCCGTGACCACCGCCATGGCCTCGACCACGATCTTGCCGCGATTCAGGCGGGCATACCCGAGCATGTCCTGGAACATCGCCTGGTAGGAGCAGCTGAGCTGCGCAATGAGCAGGTTGAGTAAGAACACCCCGCTCACAATGACGTAGACCACGACAGCGAACACGAGCGCTGGTTCTTGATGCAACTCTTGGTATTCCCCGCCGTCATACATGCGGAGCGTGATTTTCAACAGCGCGATCGCGGAGGATGGGATGCCATCGAAGTTGCTGTTGTCGTGGTCCAGTGCGCTGATGGCGCAGCTCGACATCAAGATCACAAACGCCCATCCGACAATGAAGAGGAACACCTCTGACAGCACGCGGTGGCCAACGAGGACGAACGCGGATACCCTGGTTGAGAATACGGAGAGGTCAACGATCAAGGCAAAGAACATCATGGTAGCCAAAGCGCTCAACTGAGAATATGTAGCGTGAATATGTTTTACCTGAGGGCATTTGTCCGTGAACAAACCTGATCCCACAAACTCCTCGTCCCAATGTGGCATGCAAATCAGAACTGGCTCGAGCGCGAGCATCGCCAAAAGGAGCATGGTCAAGAGCAAACTGATACAGTCCTGGTAATTCTCCAAATAGGCCGGGACTCTTACTTGGCCGATTCTGATGATTCTGTTGTCGCGCACATCACGGCATATGTTCCCCACGTGGTGGTACAGGAACTTCCCCAAACTCAGCACGTATATGAAGGAACGGCAGGCGGCCACCACGATGCGCCGAGTCTCGCCCATATCGCCATTGCTCGAATGCTTGAGCCCACCAGCACCGAGAACGAAGACGCACATCGTAAAGAGCATCCACGACTTGTTAATCAAGAAAGTCCTGGACGCGATGCGGCTCCACACGGTGTCCGTCACCATCGCCACGATCGGGTGGGACCTTCGCTACCCCGATACGCAACACGCAACACGTATCGTATTGATACGGAGCTCAACACGTAGGCTGAAAGAAACGTAGGTCCGACGCGATACATTCGCCAAAACGTGATCGAACACGTGGAGCCAACACGCAACGTATTGACACGGACGTCTTGAACACGGAACGTTTTGCGTTTCAAAACGGGCGTATCGAGACAACTAAGGGTGGGACACGAGCTTGGGGTCACCGTTGCCCGAGATCCACTCAACCGCCTGTGAGAACCCCCCGCTGCTGTCCACCACGAGGTGCTTGACGTAGTCCGCCACCGTGCCGCTGGGTACGGAGTGGGCGTGTCGTTAGGTCCTTTGCCCAATCCCTACGACTCAGTCCTCAGTCCCGAGGAGCTTCGTAGGGGCCTGGGCCCCAAGAGGCCCCCGAGAGGCCACTCACGAGATCCCAACAAACATCCTAAGGCAGAGATATGCGACGTCCTGATTTTTCAATACGCGATCCCCCGAAGTCTGGACCCTTTCCCCAGGACCGGTTTTTCATCCCGATTTGTTTTTGACGGTCCCGGGGCCTGGCGAGGGCCCCCAGAGCCCGAAAGCTGCCACCAACCTCCGTCCTGCTTTTCAGGACGCGAGCATCTGGGGTGGCGGGAGGGGCCGAAGGCCATGAGATAGTTGACGCGCCGCGTGCCATTCTCGGTGAGGCGCGAGCGCCACACCAGCCCGTCCAGCAGCGTCGGCAGCAAGGCCGGCGCCTCGGCGCAGAGGCGCCTCACGATGTCCCCGTGGCGCTCGAAGAGGGCGTCCATCCCGTAGTAGTAGCGGTCCCTGTCCGCCCGGATCGTGAGGAGGTCCTCGATCATCGCGCCGGCGGCCTCGAGGCTGCCCGTCTCGACCGCCCACAGGAGCGGCGAGATCGACTGGGTCCCGACCTGGATGCTGAGCACCCACGCCGCGCGCATGCCGCGGGGGGCGCAGCCCACGGCCTTCCGGAGCTGGGCGGCGCTGTTCACGTTGATGGCCTTCATGACGATGGTCGAGCCCTCCGTGATCACGCGCGTCAGGATGCGCGAGATGAGGTTCAGGGACCACCGGAAGGCCTCCTCGGCGCCGTCGTCGTCGGTGAGGCCCCGCACGACCTGCACGCAGGCGGTGACGAAGGGGCCGAAGAGCTCCGTGGGGATCCCGTAGCCGACGTGCCTCAGCCCGAGCGCGGAAATGTCTTCCACCATTTTTTTAGGGTCCCTGTAGACCTCCAGGGTCATGGACACGATTCGGTCAGCGATGAAATGCAGCCGCGTGGTGGACTGCTTGAAGAAATCCTGACCCGACGGGGCGAGATGGAAGAACTTCGCGTAGACCTCGCGCCTCACCGTGGCCTGGCCGGCCTCGTCGAGGCTGGCCCAGAGGCGCCCGAGGCACCTCTCCATGTTCGCCGGCTTGCCCATCATCGACCTCAGCATGCGCTCCACGTTCTCCCAGAGCCACGACCAGGCGACCTCGTGCTCGGAGTTCCAGTCCTTCGGCACCAGGGAGCGCAGGGAGGCCAGCATGACGGCCTTGTACTCCGGCAGGTCCACGGTGCCCTTGTACTTCGCGAGCCGCAGCGACAGCACGTCACACTCTTCCTGCAGGCGGTACGAGTTAGAAACGTTTGTCACGATCGTGTCGAAAGAAGACAGAACTTCGTTCATCCAGGCACTTTGTCCAAAGCCCATGACCGCCGCATTGAACGTGAACATATCTCTGTAAGTGGTTGGCACTGATGTGTTTCTGAGAGAATTGCCGTCTGAATCGTCGAGCTCCTTTCTCTTCCCGTGCCCAGTGGTCACATCGTGTGAAGAAGCATCGCGACTAAAGAACCAACCAGAGCCCCGTTTGTTTCTCTTCGTCTTCTGCACGTTGACCTGCTTCTCGTTTGCGGCCTCCATCTTAGCCTTCTCCTCAGCACGGATATCCTCAGCAGACTGAAAAGCGATATCCGTTTCCTTGGAGCCAGCTTCCTCGTCCTCATCAGTTGTCGCCACCGTATACTCCTTCTTGTTGGCGGTGGCCCAGCTCGACGCCAAGATCTTGAGGCGATCGGTGTACTTCACACGGACGTATATGTACGCTCCACCAACGTAATTTAACATTGCATCCCAGCCCGCATGCGCGCTGACACTCAGCTGAGAACCTAGCTCCATTTGCAGCAAATCCACAATGGCATCGCGAAACATCACGACGCGAGGCACAGTTACCTCCAGGTGGAGGTGCTGGAAGCCAAGCGTCTCGACCAGTGTCTTGAGGGCGCCGGGATTGGCCAGCTGGCTGATGATCTGGTTGAGGCCGTTCATGAACCGCATGGCCATCACCGCGCGCGGCGTCTTGAAGAGGCTCTGCAAGCTGGGCGCGGAGTCGAAGATCGCCGAGTAGATCGCCTCGCCGGCCGCCTCGCGCGACTCCGCGCCGCGCAGAAACACGGCCCACGCGCCCTGCACCTCCTCCACCAGCGACGCGGGCAGGCTCAGCTCCTCGAAGACCTCGACGTTGACCTCGGTCGCGCTGTAGATGCCCGCGCTGTCGGCGCCCATGTCGGCCTCCCCGCCTTCCTCTGGGTGGCTCCCAGAGCTGCAGTCCTCGGAGTCCGCGTCCTCCGTGCGCTCGTCCTCCTCCTGGCTGGCCCACGCGTCGTCAACTTCCTGCAAGTCGGCCATCGCGGCCTGGCGCAGCTCTTTCGGGGGGGCCAGCTGCGATCGCGCCTCTTTCTCGAAGGGGCGGCGGGGGGGGCGAGGCGCCTCGATCTGCCTCGGGCTGAATTGGCTGCGGAATCGGCAGGGTGAAACGGAGGATGGCCCATTGCGACGGGCAGAAGGTCAGACATCCAGCGCGCATACGGCGCACACGCTGCGTCTGCAAGCCGAGCGGAGCGCCATCGCACGGCACCTGCGCGACGCTGGAGAAGGAGGAAGAGGGAAGAGGAAGGACACGACGGCGACGGCGACGGCGACGGCGATGACGTCGACGACGTCGACGTAGACAACGACGACGACGACGACGACGACGACGACGACGACGACGACGACGACGACGACGACGACGACGACGGCGGCGGCGGCGGCGGCAGCGGCGGCTGCGTCGGCAGCGGCGACGGCGACGGCGACGGCGACGGCGGGGGCGACTGCGACGGCGACAACGACGGCGACGGCGGGGGCGACTGCGACAGCGACGGCAACGAAGACGAGGGGAGGAGGGAGAGACTGGAGAGGAGGAGGAGGACGAGGAGAAGCAGGAGAAGGAGAAGAAATAACAGGGATGATGGTGATGACGATAATGAGGAGGAGGAGGAGGAGGAGGAGAAGGAGAAGAACCAACAGGGATGATGATGGTGATGATGATGATGATGATGATGATGATGATGATGATGATGACGACGACGAGGACGATGAGGAGGAGGATAAACAGGAGGAGGAGGAATAGGAGGAGGAGGAGGAGGAGGAGGATGAACAGGAGGAGGGCGCATGGTACTGCAGCAGCGGTGAACCTTTCGGGGGCGACCGAGGGCGGCACTGCTTGCTCAGCGGTCGCGGCTGCCAGGGAGACCTGCGCGGGGAGGGCGCGCGTGCGCTTCGGACATCCCCTCGGGGCCTCGGGCCTCGTGGCTCGAAAGGGTGGAGGTGACGACCAGGACCGAACTCGGACCCAGCCGTTCAGCGCGCCGTTGCGCCCTGACGCGCGGATGCTGAAAGAGCGCGCGCGCGGCAGGCTGCTCGGGCACAGCGGCAAACGCCCAATCCTGCGGAAAGCCCTTTTCACCCAGGCCGACCCCGGGTAAGGGTATGTTTAGGACCAATGACAGACCGAACTCGGACCCAGACCGACCTCGGACCCAGATCGAACTCGGACCCAGACCGAGCCCGAACCCAAGCCGAGCTCGGACCCAGACCGCATTTGGACTTCGGCCGAGCTCGGGCCCGGACCGGGCCCGGACCCAGACCCTTCGACGGAACTCGGGCCCGACCGAACTCGGACCCGACCGAACGCGGGCCCGACCGACGCCAGACCTGAGCGGCGCGCTGCAGCGGAAGCCCCGAGTCCGAGTTCGGCGAAGTCCGCATCCAGCCCGTGCACGTCCCGCCTGGCCGATCTCGGCCAGGTCCGAATCCAGCCTGGTCGGAGTTTCTGGGTCCGAATTCCGCCGGGCTCGGATTCTCATGGTCGGGACTCGGGCCCGTCGGGTCTGGTTTCGGCCGGGTCTGATCCTGCCCAGGTCCGAACCCAGTCTGCTGTCAAAGTTTTCGTGAGCGTTGTGCGCCAGTTCAAACTCGATGGTTCCGAGTTCGTGGGGGTCCGAGTTGGGCCGATTCCGAATATTCGAAGACAGAGCTCGAGCCCGTTGGGTCCCAGTTCGTCCGGGTCCGAACCCGTCTGGGTCCGAAGTCTGGGCGTGCTCGAGATGTCCAGGTCCCTTTTCAGACCCGCTTGATCCGAGCTGAACCCAGCCAACTTCGGCCGGGTCCGCATTTGGCCGATGCCGAATCCGATCAAGACCAAATCCGAGCCGAATCACACGGACACACCCTCACGAGCGTTCCAGGCAAACCGCGCTGCTGGACTTAACCTGTTTTACGGAAATAAGGACATGCTCACGTGCCGCCCTTTGCGGCCTTAACCCGCCCACCCCAAAAACCGCCGGGGCTTCACAGAGGCCACTAAAGCCAAGAGCGACGGTCGAGGACAGGAGAGAAACGTGGAGGACAGAAGAGGGGCTACGCCAGCGACCAAACCTCAGTTACATCCAACGTCCAATTCAGCCCCCGTTTCTTTTTCAGTGGGCACGGGGATCTCCGAGAGCCTGTCCCGCGGCGCGGTTTTCTCCCAGGCCTCGCGGGTGGCGCTTTCAATTGAAACGTTTCGCGCCCTCGGAAGATCGGGGGGGCCCTGGACCCACGGGTGGGGAGTGGGGGTGGCTGAACGGGGCACTTTGCCCCCCGACGCCGCCGCCGAATCGTTCGGCGCCCACCGTGCAGGCGCGAGAATCTCAAACCCCCGGAGGGCGACGCTTTCAATGGAAACGTTTCGTGCCCTGGGAAATTCAGAGGGGGGCCCGAACCCACGGGGGGAGAGGTGATGGCCGAACGAATCCCTTGGCCCCCTGCTGCCGCTGCCGATTCGTTTGGCCCCTGCATCCGAGCTCACGGGGAGGGAGCGGCGGGCCGGACGAGTCACCTTGCCCTCCGCCGCCGCCGCCGAGTCGCTCGGCCCCCGCTTCCTTTCCTGCGGGCGCGAGGTTCTCCGAGCCACCGAGGGCGACGCTTCCAATGGAACCGTTTCGCGCCCTCGGGGTCTCGGGGGGGCCCGAACCCGTGGGGAGGGAGAGGCGGGCCGCGCGAGTCACCTTGCCCTCCGCCGCCGCCGCCGAACCGTTCGGCCCCCTCGCTCCTTCCTACGGCGCTGGTTTCTGCAAGCCCCCGAGAGTTTTGATGGAAACGCTTCGCGCCCTCGGAAGCTGGGGGGGGGGGGCGCGAACGCACATGGGGGGAAGAGGGTGGCCGAACGAGTCGCCTTGCCCTCCGCCGCCGCCGCAGAGTCGGTCGGCCCCCGTTGCCCTTCCTTTCCCGCCGCCGAATCGTTCGGCACCCGCTTCCCATTCGAATGCATTGAAACAAACACATAACATGCGAAAGCATTCAACGGGAAAGCGTTCAGCGAGAGGCTGCGGCCAACGTATTGCCTATCATAGTCGCATTGCCAGCGCATCGAAGATCTAATATGTCGGAGAATGCTGCGGTCGGCGCTTGTCCGACAACAGTCCGACTAAAAAGGCGCAGGAGGCATTTCATTATTATACAGGACGGTGTTGGATGCTGATAACAGCACGTTGTTTCCACTTGCGCACATGAAACCTTCATTCTGGTACCGCTTCACATGTGGAGTGTTGTATGCGCGTGATGAGTTCATCAGTTCGAATTGCCAGGGTGTCTGATGGATATCCGCGCTTCGTTTGAGTATTGCACAACTCGCTGATGAAACCCCCGCAACTCTCACATGTAAGCCACGTAGCGCGAATTGCCACGCACATGCCGTACGAAAACGGTCAGGTTCCCATTCGCCAGCCGGAAAACTCCAACTCCACTGGCGACCACTGTTCAGTTTCAACACAATACATACCCCAAATGCCAGAGGGCAAACTAGCACCACTTCCAACAGGGGCGCTCGTGTTGTCTCCCAAGATGAAGTTCTATCATGACGACGTGCGTTTGATGTCTGCATCCTGTTAGAAGGCTGCACACGAAGAACCCTACTGTCGGTTCAAGACGGCGGGTGGCAACTTGTGCCCGTTGGCTGTTTCGTCGGTTGAGAAGTGGTCAGCTCGGTTGTCGTTGGCACCAGTCTTAAGTCGGGCATGTCCCTCCACAGGCGGAGTTTGGAGGAAGAATTAAAATACCCCCAGACACACACACACACCAAACAAAAAACTTAACACAAAGAAAACAGTTCAAAGAAAATAATACGAATGGCCAAAAAAACGTCCCCATACGATGTTTGGCCTCTTTTTGAAGAGTCCTCCTGTAGACGGACAGGCCCGACTTAATACCAGGCGGTCGGGATTGGCCCGCCGGGCGGGGACTCGCGGCCCTCGGGGTGTGTGGGGAAGCTGGGCCCGCCCTGGCCCGCGGCCGCAACGCCCCCCCGGGGGGAGGCGCAGCAGCGGCCCCCTTCCAACAAGGGCCCGGCGCCCCCCCCGGGCGCGCAAGGAGCGTGGACGTGATGGGGAGGTGAGGACAGGAGGAGGTCGGGCATGTCCTCCTACAGGGGGATTTGGACGTTGTTCTTTTTAACCAAAAAACGTCCCAAGCACAATGATACGAATAATAAGAATAATACTACGAATAAGAATGCAAAACGAATAATAATAATAATAATCATGCTAATATTAGTAATAATAGTACTAATAATAATACTAACAATGAAAATAACACCACTACTACTACTACTACTACTACTACTACTACTACTACTACTACTACTACTACTACTACTACTACTACTACTACTACTACTACTACTACTACTACTACTACTACTAATGATAAGAATAACAAGCCTGAGCACAATCAAAAGTGGTCGAAAAATACTCAGAAAAACGTCCCCTGACTTTTGTTTGACTAGTTCGGAATCTTTCTCCCGTCGAGGGACGTGCCCGACTTAGAGACAGGAGGAGGAGGAGCGCGCCCGCTGCATCGGCCCACTCTCGGCATCTCTCCCGCCTGCAGCGCCGTTAAGCACCCGCAGGGACCTCGTGCCGTCAGTGCCCCAGGGCATCCGGAGGAGGAGGAGCAGGAGCAGGCGGAGGAGGAGCAGGAGCAGGAGGAGGAGGAGGAGGAGGAGGAGGAGGAGCAGGAGCAGGCGGAGGAGGAGCAGGAGGAGGAGGAGGAGGAGCCCAGGGGGGCAATGCGCCCGCCCCCTGGCAACAACAGATTCGCCAGGACGCGGGCTGGCGTTGGCGCACCCAACAGCCCCGGCTGTCCTCGCGCTCCCCCGCCGGATCTGGCAAGGCTCCTGACCGGGAGTGGCGTGCTGGCTGGCGCTCTTGCGCTGTCTGGTCCCTTCGGAGGCTGGCTTGGGGTACTCTTGGGCCGTCTTGGGGGCCTCTTGGGGCATCTCGGCGGCCTCTTTGGGCTGTCTGGGGGCCCTCCTGGGCCGTTTTAGGGCC